TCGTCATGATGATGTTTTGCTGAACCCAGTCTGCTTATTTCTGTGATTATTATGAAGTGAAAAATAGACAAAATTTTAAATTAAGCATCTCCAATCTGTACCATTCTCTGACCGAAATTTTGATTTATCATTCTGTCTTCAAATAATTTATCTCACCTCAAAATTAGACACATCACAATATATTTCGGTAACAGCCATTTTAATAATATACCCTCATCTCCCTCATACTTCAAAAATGCTTCGTTAACAGAATTTTGTAAGCAGTTCTTGTTTCCCACCCGAAATTCATGCTCAACATGTCGCAGAATCCTTCATAACTTTATAAATAAATACTTAGCCTTCCGATACGTATTACATTACATTCCTTACTTACTTCATCTCTCGTAAGTCCAGATTTTCCTTACACTTTGTTCTCAAACACTTGTCTTCCCTTAGGGCACCAAGACTAATTCCACAGCTGAACATCTTTGCCTTCTGGGATGATACGCCCTGTAGTCTGGCAATGAACCCTGATAGCGGAGGCAGCACAGACTACAGGGCTCAACATCACAAAAGACAGCATTCTTCACAATCGTCGCTTTGAGAACCTTATAATCTCATCTGCCTGGTCCAAATATATGAGCTGAGAAGCCACGCTGGCATGGCTGTCACCATTTCCTGTCCTACCTCCCGCCCTGCTAGCCGAATCCTCCAAAAAACGCTTGTATTGTCTGCAGGGTCGGAGGACTTGCCACCGTCGAAAGGGGCCATCTCGTGTCCTGACCAATAAGGAGGTCGCCCTCGGTCCGAACCAGTACCAGCGTCTGGGCCGCAGTATCACACAATCCCTGCTAGATTCCCTTGTCCCTAGATAGCCCTATCAGCAGGTTCAAATATTTCCGCCCCATCAGGCGGAAAGGGGAGGAGCTAACAGTCCTAAAAGCATTTCTTGCAACACACAGGATGTATACACGACTGATTTCGGCCTTCCTGCAACCAACATTTTCTGACTGCACTCGAGTTCTATAGGTAAACTGAACCAGATGATAGTATTTAGGCATTGTGGGATGTGGTTCGCGTTAGCCAGGAGGTTTATTTTCTCTCTTCCGTGGGCAAAACTGCAACGACAGAACACATATTCCTGTTCAATGTGTCCTTTTCAATACTCATGACAAAACTGTACGCGTAAATAAAACAAAGGCCATAAACAGATCAACCATTAATTACAATCTAACGTATCTGAAAGCAGAACAGACGGATTTGTTTTGTGTTTTGTTTTTCAATAGTCACTCACAGACATCTCGCTGTCAGCTATGGAGGCTTCAGGGGCAGCCATTGTTCCCTTCCCAAATGCCTGAATATCAACACCCACCGTTTCACAAAAGTGCCCATATTAACAATTAACAATACTTACCCTGAAGACGGCAGAGTTGAGTCAGTAGCCTAAACTGATCGGTTATGGGTTAGATCAGTAGTATTCAACCTGGGGTACGTGAAATTTAAAAAAAAATATTATTTTATGATAAACACTGAATAATCAGTAATGTAATTTATTTAATTTATTTTAGATGTAGATTATATACTATGTATAACTTGAATTATACACCAACAACTTTGGGGGTACAAAGTTAAAGAGAAATCATATCTGGGGGTACGCGAACAAAAAAGGTTGAATACTTCTGGGTTAGATGACCGGACTTCTATTCTGATCACGGGCAGTAATCTGTCTCTACGACTCCACACCAAGACTAGTTACGGAACCCATCCCTACTAATTTTCCACGTCTATCAACTTACAGTCATACTTAAGCCTGAAAATCCAGCTCAACACTCCGTCACCCCTACAGTTGATGGCTTGTCATTTCACAATGTACTGAACCCAATCAAAAGGCGATGTTTGTAACCGTCTTTATTAAAGAAATTAATTATATTTATCAAACAGCTGAACGTTTTCGATTACTCATCTATAAACCAGGCAGTTAGAAGATCTAGAGGCCTGAAATACTTGAAAAGTTGGTCGTAATTTCAATCATTGCGTTAAAGCAGACAACGCGGCAGAATAATGCATTTCAGTGCTGAAGCTGTACTTTAAAACACACGGTGAAGACAATGTGTTCAAAATTTCCTCTCGTTCAGACTTCAGTCTCAGCTTTGGGATCAACTGACTGACTTGTACTTGAGTTAGCACAATTCGAAATTTTAACAAGACAATGTCAGAGGCTGCCAGTGGATGATATTACCATTTAAAATTGTTTTATGTAACCTGCTTCAGTCAATATCTGTCTTTGTAGACTATCTTCTGAATTAGATAAGATAATATTATCTCTGTAAACAGGTTTACTCAAATAAGCAAACTTGTGTAATAAATAAGTAATTTATTTTAGGAAGTAACTATTTATCTATTACACCTACATTATTACAGTTTGAGTGAGGAAATGAGAGGACATTGGCGGGAACAGTGAATTGTATCAACTTGCCATGATTAAACGTGTCTTGCTCGCATTTCCTGTCTTTTAAATGCACCAGGATTTGAATCATCTTGTAGCAACGAGAAGAGATGATGTGAGACGCAAAAAAGTAGCCCATTCAAGTAATCTAGTAATACCTCCTGGGACAGAATCAATTTTACAAGCCGGTGGCGTCACTTAACAACGCTCCGGTTCAAGCAGACCTACATGGGTCACGTGGTTTTCGAATGACACAGAAGTCCACTTCAGGATCTGTTAAATCAAAATTCTTCGTGCAAGCTGTATGAAGAAGTCTCATGCTATAATACGGTCAGGATATTTGGTAGCTGTGCCGCCAAGACTAGAAAACGCGACAACGGACTCAGTGATCAGTGAAAGGCCGTGCCTCCAGTACAGTCGCCAAATATCCTCACTCTTTGAAGCGTTACTTTTGTAAAACGCAATAGGCTGATTATTGCGAGAAGCCGTTTTACATTTTTTAAACAGTGAAATATATTTACAAGATAAATAAATAAATAAATCAGTTCCAAGAAACACAATTACAAGCAAACAGAGCTTTCAGTGTCTTACGGGAACGGTCAAAGTAATTATTGGAGTTGCTATTGAAAGTGGAATCTCATGAAGTACCAATATTTAAATGCGCAGTTATATGAATATTTCTTTCGAACCGTTCCTAAAGATGAATGAACACTGCATGTACGCCTACCAGCACAGAAGCTACCCCGCATCACGTGATTCCAAACAATTATACAATTTGTCAGTGGGATTAAGTATAGTCATTACAAACCTTTTACAATTCAATTTATTTTATCTGTAATTCATTTAACGACACTTCTTCACTAGCAATAAAGGAAATGTATTTTAGAAATATTGAAATCCAGTGTCCCACTTATTCAATAACTCTTTCTTATCATTCTCACCGCAAAGTGATTATTTCCTTAAACAGCATTAGAAAGTATTTGTGATGGTCAAGAGCTGTGTTTTCTTTGCGGTACAAACGGAATTCTTAAATATTATTTACACGTATTTCGGCTTCAGAGGGTTAACTGGTTAACCACCTCTTATCATATCGTCGTGTATCTCCTGCCATCATTTTTAAAGCTATAATTAGACGTTCATTTGTTCTCCAAACTGTAATAATAACTGTTTCTGGAACGTTAAACAAAGACTACTCACTCGTTAACTGCACATCGTCACTACAAGGTCAGATCGTTGGCTAGACGTGAATCTGCTTATGGTATTGACGCAGCAAGACATCTCCAGCATGGCTCAAATTTCGCTTTCTGGCACTTCTCAGTCGTAAGAACTCGGGTTTACAAGACTAAAGCTCATTCTAGTATTAAGAAACTCAGACTTTAATTTCTTTGACACTTTTAGTTACTCATGTGTTCGTAAATTTATTCTGTGCGTAATGTTATAATCTTTTGGTGACTTCCATGCAATAACCCGTTAGAGCCCCGGTTCCAGATACAGTCTCACCGCATCGCAAAAATAAGAAATAAAATAACAAATAAACTTTCTTGCAACACCTATTACAGTTATTTATCAAGTTATCGTCTCTGATATTTGCTTGGAATAGACTGGCTATTGATTCCTTTAAATAAGCACTTTTCCAAGCACGCCTGTCTTCCATGGAGCCTTGTTAACCGATAAATGTTATTATTATGTCAAGAATACAAATAGAAATACTTTAAGAAATTTAAATCTGATTAACATTACAATAACTTTGCTTGTCGTAAAGTAACCTTAGTCAAATAACCATCAAGACCGACAAGCCGCAAGCTGCAGAGAAGAATTTTTGGACTCAACAAAATAAAGAGATCACTTGAGACTTAGGTAAAGAGAGAATATAATATTAAAATAGTAGTGTTGGGTGTGGAGTGTGTGAATGATGATGCGTCTACTAGCGCATTCTGGCGCAATGGCTAACACATGGGTTTTCTCAGCCATCGACCGTGGACCATCTGTGCAAATATCAACTCATTTCCGACTAAACCCTTTTAAGCCATGTACAAGTTATTTAGAGATCAAGCAACACTTTGTCCATAAGCATTTCCTCTATACGTTGATTGTTATAGGCCTATAGCTTAAACTATGCCTCACAATTGCAAGCAAATCATAAATACCGATGACGTCAGTGGCTTCATCAGCATGAATGGAAAAACCATGACTGTTCTAAAGCGTCTAATCAACTCACGCAGAATATTACAAATCATGTACCCGATTTTGCTCGAATGTATAGGATTTGAAAGTGGAATTCTGTCGATATATTTAGTACGAGGCTACGTCTCGTACACAGGACATGATGTGATTTTCGGAAGTCTTAAGGGCTTAACATCAATGAGCAATACGAAAACTCAGTTTGTTTGATGCTTCACATAAAACCTTTCAAAGGAAATTAATTACGTGGGCAGTGATAAGCCACGAGTTTAAAGGGGGCAATGAACCGCAGGTAAAACGCTTCTGAGTAAGTATTGAATTTAAATCTACCTTATGTCATTTACTGACAGGATGATACAATGAAGTTCTTCGTAAGAGAAGCAAACTGACTTACATGATGTGGCGTGTCCCTCACCTGCAGCAACCGGTGGCACCTGGAAAAGCAGATAAGATGAGTATGATATCAGCGCTGGGAGAACAAAAATAAAAACATAAAAGTTCAGAGTCTCATTAAGGCGAGCTTTAAGGTTATACTAAATATGCCTATGACGCAGTATGTGTGCCGTGGTAATAGGGTAGGGTGATTAACTGGTAACTGTGAATAAAACCAACGATTATGAAATTATAATTCTTGGTTGGTCACTCTGTATAATCTCCTGTTAATATTTATGATAACCGGATTTTCACTTCTACTGCAACATGCAGAAGTGCATCTAGAGTTCCCTATAGTTTTTTTTAATATAATCTGTAGAATCTTTCTGTTTTAACAGTTGCTGCACAATGCTATTAGCATATCACAGAATTCATAAGATACATACAAAATCTCGTCTAAGACTTTAAGTTAAGTGACATTAAAAGGATATTACGTGATTGAAACATGGAAATATTCACAGTGTAATAAGTACCATACCCGTTGAAACACTTATAGGCTAGAGTCAGTAGGATTTGAGGTTTTCACGGAGGTGAGTCCGAAGACGGCTATCTTCAGGGTTGTAGTCTGGCAAACTTCTACCAGACTACAAGGTGCAACAACCCAGAAGACAACCATCATCAGGCTAGTCTACCCACACCCAGGTTTTGTGTTCGTTACTTTATAGGCTACATTCAGGCCTGTCTTTTGGTCATTTGGTTCCCCGAAAAACAAAAAGCTTCCTACAGATAATCAAAATTCTCTTGCAGCGGTGATACAACGTGTTTACCAAAAGGTAAGAACCGTGTTACAGTTCATTATTTAAAAGAATTGTCACTGTTAATTAGCGTATTTATCGTTTGACAAAAAGAAACCGCTTATATTTCGTGTGGCTAACGCAATGTAGCTTATTATTCTACAAAAATAACTGGCGCATGATTTTCTAGTGCTCGTTATTAACGAATTCGACAGTATACAGATATTAGTTAATGCTGTTCAGAAATATAAGAAAAGGAAAGCAGTCCCGCTATACACCATGTACGTCGCTTGGGGGGTGAGGTGGTATAGCTCCTACTCATTCTTGACCTCTGCACTAGATGGAGGTGAGTGGTCAGTATCACGCCCCGGCCGCGCTTTACCCCCGATAAAGGACCAAGATACCCATTAGATAAGAGGCTGGGTGGGCCCCACAGAAAAAATCCTCTGCCCCCGTCGGGGATCGAACCCGTCTTCCAGCCCGTAGCTAGTCGCTATACTGACTGAGCATTCAGAAATATAATCTACGTTTAACTTGAGAATCATATGAGGGTAAAAAATACAATATCTGGGAAAAATGCAGAGTTACTAAATGATCAAGAAGGTGGTACATATAGTTACCACTGTGCTTTAAAGGGATAATTTAAAATATTTTTCTTATACTAACTTTGCAACGGGTGTCAACATATCAAGTACAGCTGAGTTTGAGCCAAATCGATCTAACATGTTGGTAAACCACTAATGTGATTGAAAAGTGAAGTTCCTATTTATTTATAAATAAGTTCATACGTTAATAACGTATTCATCTTGTTGTGAGATTGTGCGACGAGGTATAAGATCATTCTGCGACCTATTTTATATTTTTGCAAAGCAAGCACTCAAAGGGCTTTCGTTATTCACTGACAATAATCCTATTCATGTCTTCTTGGCCTATTTCCATTTACTGAGTAATAATTGACAAGAGCCAGATGGTGACTTGAATGCGTGATACAGATGCAACCCAGGGTCCAAAGTATGATCGTAACTAAATCCCACGCAGTGCCTTGGCCCACACTGACGTCTGAATGCGTTGAAATACGAAATGCATGTGTGTTCGAAAACTAAATAGCAAACAACTCCACATCCATAACTTATAGGCGGGGTGGCCAAGCAACGACGTGAGAATATGAAAAAGGTGGAAAGTCCGTGTGGTGGTTCAAATAGCTTGTCTATAAAAACGCCTCTTTGCCACAAAATTCTTTTCTTGAAACTACACATTTCCACAAATGGGCCTGCACAGATGATACTGAATATAGATCTGTGTACCATGTTTGGTGGGTTCCTGTCCCCAAGTCATGGCGGATACTCAGGTTGCGGATGAAGTAACAGGCTCCATTTATGAAGGTTAGCTGCGAATATATTGAATAAACAGTCGCGTACAGCTGACGAGGGGTAGTCCTCCAGCTTGGGGGGTTGGGCGTGAAGCTAACAACTTTCACCGCAAAAAAAACCAGCATTGTTACGAAAAATATAATCAAAAAGCCTCGGAACCGGACGGAATCTTTGGCAAGACCATGTTTTGATTTTGTTGGCCCAGGACAGGGTCCGGTGGAGGGCTTTGGTTAATTCGGTGATGAACCTTCGGGTTCCGTAAGTGAGTTATAGATCTATGTAAGTTACCTCTTTCATTATATATGGAAAGTAAAATGTAAGTCCCTCAGCTGGATGTGTTTCCAAAACTTACTGCAAAACAGTCTACATACACATCTTTATTACGAGAGAGTTACCTTAATAAAAATTTCCTCTATGACATGCTTCAACCATACCAGGTCATCTTCAGGCAGGAAATACTAAATGTGTCATGAATGTTTCATAGAGACGGACAACCTATTGTACTAATACACGTTCATACATTTACAGGTGTACTGAACGACACTAAGGGTCCAATGCTTGCGTTTCAGCTACTAATATTGGGCTTACGTGCAACAGACACCTTCAGCAAGAACTGGGTCTACATTTCTTTTGTAGGCACAAATTACTCAGAAACATTCGGTTTTCAAGAAAGCTTTTTCCAGCAATAAGTACGTTGCGCCTTTATGTTAGCACATTAACATTTTACATTTGTTATTTTTATTTGTTCTTGTTTTATGACCTTATTCTACGCGTTTCTTCTGCAGTAGGACAAATCAAATGAGTTGTTATAGAGTTCTGACTATTGTCACAACTGTCACATTACTAAATCAAATAAATTATCACATTTCTTTCTAAGCTTCTCGTTATGGCACTTTTTACTGGGTCTAGAGATACAAACAAGAAGTAGTACTTTTGAAACGTCGGTTAATTTCTGTCAGAATACCTAATGCAATAACCCAGAAGAGTCATCTGCAAAACTAAGCTTTATGTCATCACAGATATTTCCAAGGTCAATGGGAGAATATTCTCTATCGCAGTGATTAAAAAGTTTCTGTCTCTTACCAGTAAACATTTGCACTAAATCTTAAACACGTCTTTATTCATGTATGACAATATGAGTAAATTATAAACATTAAGATACTAAGCACAAAGCAGTGCCCCACATCAAATAACTTTAGTGGCTGGTGAAGAATTAATACAGCTAAAATGTGAAACACAGCTTACGACGGCTTTTTAAAATATTAATAACACATAAGCCTGCATCGTTTAAATAAATCAGTAAGGATACTGGCAGATACTTAATAATTTAACGTCTACGTCAAATACAAGTGGGCCTACCTCCACAGCTTCGAGGTACTTTCGATTTGTTCCTGCATCCATCAAAAGCCGCAAAAATCCATGCTTTGCTTTTGCCAAATTACACATCCATCCATCCATCCATCAAGTTCGTGCAGAATAAAAAATAAGAAACTCATTTAATGAAAATGTATGCATTTTTCTATAAGAAAATCCAATCACCCAGTGGACACCCGGCCCAACCATTCATCCTTTACATTTACATCCGAATTCATCTAATCGTTAATGACTCAGAAGACATGAAAGCAAAGTTAAGTCAGTGTCCCATCTCATGAATCTAAATTTCGCTACATGATTACAGTTCCCACAGCATGCAAAGTTCCTGCAGCTTTTGCAACCAGTCATCAATCAGTGTCCACCATGAGCCACCCTAGAGACTACGAAACCTGTTTCACTGTTGGAGAGTGGCAGAGAACGTGGGCCCCTCCAGGACTCAGATACCAAGCTAAGAATCTCCAAACACTGTGCTTCATATTTGATTACAAGACTTTCAAACGATCCCAACAAGGAACATCCTGAAGATTTCTGTCTTCTGGGTTGCTGCGCTGTGTAGTCTGGTCAGAGGTCATACTGCCTCCGTCATCAGGGCGATGAATGTGTCAATTGACAGAGGCAGTATGACCTCTGACCAGACTACACAGCGCAGCAACCCAGAAGACAGAAATCTTCTTACTCACCGCTGTGAAAACCTCAGATCATACAAGGAACATCCTGTTGATCAAAACAGGGCTATGAGATGCAATTAAATATTATTACAGAGTTTGGTAACTAAAGGAATTTCTGAAATAATTAGTAGAACATTAAAATATAAAGGAATAAAAACTGATATAAAAAAGATGTTTTAGTACTATGTAGAGAAAACACCACTTATTCACGAACACGTTACTACATGGATATGAATAGTCAGTTTAAACTTCGGAATCTTTTAACACCACTGAACTTCTGAGTGGATTAGACCTAATGCCATTCTGGAGGTGATAAAGGTTAAGTAGAGAGATGCTCATCACGCAATGTATGAGTAAAGCTCCCCGCACTTTTAAAACCGACATTAAATAGAGGTGGGTGGTTAGTTTCAAGCTCCGGCCGCATTGCCGTCGACTGAAGAACCCTGGCGACAATTAGACATGAGACTGGGTGGGCCTTAATTCTTGTCCCGACATTATGGCGAGGAGGACAGATGGTACAGAAGACAGGCCTATCTATCCACTCCTATTCTGGACGTGGTACGGATACAGATTGCCTCAAAGCTAGAAACGAGAATCAAACACCTATCCTGCAACCACTGGGCAATGACGTCAGATAGCGATCATTCTGCGATAATATTAAAACAACAATAATAAAACTACAGTTGTAAGCATACCAGGAATTAGTACAATCAAAAGCCATCAAAATATTGACATGTTGCTCTATTACACCGTTCACAGAATTACGGTAACATAGATGGGAATCCTATAACTTATCCTTCGAATACTTCTTGATCCTGTATTAAGCGACGCTAGTGTCGATGTCACCTCAGAAGTT